CGATGCGCGTAGATGCCTATCTGAGAGCCGGAGGACGTAGCTTCCATTTGAGTGCTGGAAGAGCGGGAAGCTAGTCCTATTGAGGAAGCCGGGACGGCCTGCCGATTCGGTCGCGGCATACAGGCCCATTGTGTTGCTGGACGAGGCGGGTAAATTGTTTGAGAGGATGCTCTCTGCCCGCATCGTCCGCCACCTCTACGAGGTGGACCCCGACCTGTCAGACGCCCAATTCGGTTTTCGAGTGGGGCGTTCGACGGTGGGCGCTGTGCTACGCCTGAGGGCCGTGACCGAAGAGGCGGTGAGCTGTGGCGGCGTGCTGTTGGCGGTGTCATTGGACATCGCCAACGCATTCAATAGTCTGCCATTCAGCTGCATCAGGGAAGCACTACACTTTCATAAGTACCTGAGGCGGCTAGTGGCAGACTATTTAGACGAGCGTAAAGTCGTGTACGAGAACCGAGATGGTAATCTGAGGTCTGCGGTGTTTCACAGGGGTCTGTTCTTGGACCCCTCCAGTGGAACATAGGGTACGACTGGGCCCTTCGAGTTGAGTTTCCCTCCGGGCTGGGTGTAATTTGTTACGCCGATGATACATTAGTCACAGCCCGGGGGGCGAACTTTCAAGAGGCGGCGCGCTTGGCCACCAGGGGAGTCTCTCTGGTGGTCGGGCGAATTGAGGCGCTGGGCTTACGGGTGGCCCTGGATAAGACGGAGGCCCTCTTATTCCATGGGCCCCGTCGTGGTCCACCCCCCGGCGCCTCAACCATGGTCAACTCGGTCCTCGTACCGGTTCGGGCCCAGATGAAATATCTGGGCCTGATCCTCAACGGGAGGTGGCTCTTCGACGTGCACTTCCGACAGCTTGCTCCAAAGCTGGTCGACGCTACGTCTGCCCTTGGGCGACTTCTACCCAATCTGGGTGGACCCAGCGTCGCAACGAGACGGCTGTGCACGGGGGTTGTCTGGTCAATGGCACTGTATGGTGCACCGGTGTGGGCGGCGGCTGTGCTGCTTCGGGAAGTACCTGCACTCGGTCGCTAGGAGGGAATTGAGTCCCGCCTGTCACCACTACGATTGCAGTGAGGACTCGGCTCAGCACACGCGGGCAATTTGCCCGGCTTGGGCGCCGCAGCGCCGGGTCCTCATTGCAGTCATCGGGGGGATCTCTCGCTACCGGCCGTCATACGCTCCATGGCCGGTAGCGACATCATCGTCGTCTCGAGAGACGTCATCTCGCAGAAGGAGGCGGCGGAGGGGGCCCGGGAGGACAGCCTCCACTCGGACCCAATCCGTCGCCGGCGAACCGGGCGGCGGAGGCGCGCTTATCACCGCCTCATGCCGCCCTGAGTGTGGCCGCGGGTGGACGGGACAGGTTTTCCCCTCCACCTGCCATAACGGCCAGCCTCGAGGAGGCGACGTCCGCGTGTGCCAGACGTCGCCTAAATAGAGAATGTACCTGAAGGTGGTGCCCGCGCCGTTGCGGGCAGGCGCTAGGAGGGGTCTGGAGGTTCTAATACCAGCAGTTCCCGGATCGCTCCTATTACAGGCGCAGAGTGGCACACCGTGTGGTTTTAATCGGTCCGATTCCGACACACCACCCCGCCGTAAACCACGGTGGGGTGACGGCTCGGGGAGGTTTCCACACGTTAAAAAAAAGAAAAAGGTTAGGTAATTTCATTTATGACATCAAATTTTGACTATTTAATGAACTATTTTATGATTGTTTACTTGATTTTATGACATGTCTTAATTTTAATCTTAATTAATTAAGTAATATAATAATCTATTCAAATATTTTTACTTATTTTTTTATTTTTAAGTAAATTGTAATTAATGATATGATGTAATAATTTATTGTTTTTGTATATGGAACAAGTTTTCTGAAATAAATTATATTATTATTATTATTATACGTTAGTCTGCGGCGGCCTTTTTACCCAGACCTCCATATCTTATCCATGACTCTGACTGCAACATTGGTGGTCGCAAATACGATCTTATATGCAGCGTTGTGGTCTACCTGGTGAAGTCCAGCTCGAGCCTGTTGGCCTGTAGCCCAGTGAAGTGCAGCAGCAACTGCACGCATGTACCCCGTGGAGCGTGCGCGTGCGACGCGCGTCCACGCTCAGCATCCATTCGGGCACGCCCATCACGCGACGTATGTCCTCCAGGAACATACCGCTAAAACAGTTATATCCTTACTTAGTAAAAAAAAGTAAAACATTCCATATCTCTGATACTTAAGAAGTAAATAATAGAAGATAATTAGTTATCGATCGTTGGAGGAACAGCACTCAAAGGGTTGTAACGCACGTGTGTCTCCTGAGTTGCAAGTGTTCAGGGGCGGCGGCTGTCACTTACCATCAGGTGACAAGCCTACTCGCTTGCCCACTGTACAATAAAATAAAACTGCCTGAGAATGACCCTTAAATGATGCCTTCAATAATTCAGAAACTGTCAGAAACAGTATATGATCTTTACTACTATTTGACAATAAAATAGTTTAACCCTCCCCCTCTTCTTCTACAACCCCATTTGATTGATAGAGTGCATCGGAAGCTTAATATCTCATTAGTATTACAAACATAATTTTTAAATAAGTAGGTTCCTATTTAATTTTACAATATATTACTTTAATTATAATTGACGGCCGCATGGCGTAGTGGTTTTTGTAAAGGCCTGCTACGCCAAAGGTCGCGGATTCGATTCCTGCTCAATTTAAACATTTTTGTTCATGAACAAATAATATTTGATTTGGTTTGGGTGTTTGTTATTATAATACGTACGAGTATGTATTTACAAATAAAAAGTAAATATGTATTTATATTAGTTGTTTGGTACCCATAGTACAAGAAATAGAAATATTTATTTGTCAATGTAGGTAAAATTAATATTAAATGTTACATATATTTTTAAAATAGGTCTCTACATTGTACCTATAGGCATACAAATTTTAATCATTGTTAATTCCTAATTAAAATTAACAACACAAAACCTTAAATTTTATACCATACATAATTAGACATAAAATTACACACTGCTACTAATTACTGCTTGGTTTGGGACTAGATGGCGTTGTGTGAATGTAGTAGAATATTCCACATGCCTCTTTGAGCGTTAACAGCTTACCTTAGGAATAATCTGCCACTAATAAATACATGTCCCATCAACAGCCTTGAATAATTCACTGCTGGATATAGGCCTCTCCTGAGAAAGGAGGTTTTGGCCTACTATACCACGCTGGCCAGACGGGTTCTTTATCTTTGCCGCTGTTGTCCTGCGTAGTTTGTCCCCTTAGTCGGCTTTTACGACACCCAGGGGATGAATAGGGGTGGTGACACTCCATGTTCTTAATCCGTCACCACCATAAATACATGTACATTAGTATAATAAAAGTAGTAAATTAGAGTATAGTCACATCACAAACCTCGGAGGCTTCATAATATTAACGTACTTAATAATGTCCTTGTCAGGCTCTATGTTGGCACAAGCGAACCTCTCGGAACTCCTGTCTGGTCCGAAGATGACGATGGACCGTCCGAAGGCACTAACCTTCCCCTCCAGAGGGAAATTACTGTCTATGAACATCTGACGCTCAGCGCCGACACCTGGATAATGTTAAAGTTTAATACTGTAATCATTTTTTTTAAATGGGTTATTAAAAAAGAAGCAATTTTAAAGATACCAATGTCGATGGAAATTCACATAAGAATATTGAACTAGTAAAGGCTTAAAGTCATAGGCGGGTAACACGGCTCCCTTCTTTCTTCAGTTCAGTTATCAGATTTTTAAAGAGTTATAATTCCGAAAGACATTGCCTCCATGTAACTGTTGGTTTACACAACTCACGCCTGTAAAGCTTCCAATGGGCTTGAGTTTTTTACAACATTTTCAATGACCATAATCCTATTTTGGGAATTTTTACAAAAGTTTAACTATCCACCAAAACCTTTTTCAAGAATGATTCTATCCCAGACCCATCGAATACATTACAAACATTTTTACATTAAAAACCTGAGATTTTAATAGTTTGCAAGTAGTTTCCGTTTAACATCTAGATAATTATACGTAAATTCAAGGTTTTGGGTGTGAACACATAACCTTTGAACCGATACATAAAGTACAAATGTTTACTTTTTAATATTTAATTCCCTGTTAGAAGTGCACCAAACCAATTTGCAATCTGAGACCAGTCACATAGTCTAACACTTCTCTATCTAGAAACAATTCAATCTATCACTGTATTTTAAAGTTACTTACTAAAAGTGCCAAGTCTGGCTGTCAAATCTCCGACATCACACCGCAGAGGGTTGTCAGCCCCGCACTGGTTGTACAAATCGTGCCGCAATACACAAAGAATTATATAATCATCATTTCTTAAGATTTATATCAGTTAAAATCCTCTGGCTAAAAACTAAGTCTGCAATGGTCTACACTCGCTACCAGATGTTATGTCATAACATTAATCGTAATAATAAATAATAAAAAGTACAGTTGATTGTTTTTCTTTTTGTTTTATTGGACTAACCCTTCCCACGCGCCGACATTTTAATTTCTGTACACTAGGATCAACACCAGTGACCCAAGGACACGCCGAGTTGCTGTTGTAAGCTTGACTAGTAGAGAAAGTCTCAGACATTAATTCATATGAACCAGATGACCACATTAAGCGTAAATCTTTAAAAAATAACACAAACTCGTCAATAAGCCACAATTCAGCAATGCCTAAAACCAGCACAACTTCTGTTTTAAACTGCTTTTTATTACGGTTTCATTTTTAGATTACATCAGAAAAATATTCGAGCCAAATCACCTTTTCTCCAAATTTTGGTACCCCCTACACCAATATAATTGATCCTTATGTTGTTACACTTACATTTAACGGGTCCGCTAGTTGTGTGAAGTAAGGGTTCCACCTGTAGCCGCCAGCGACGCATCTTGTGTTAGTCACTGAGACCGCAGCGTCCACGCCCACGGGATTCACGAATATTGCTCAGTTGTTACGGTTACGCGTCTGAAATATGCAAAAATACCAATAAGGCAGTTCTCCTAAAAACACTTTTATTATAATTAATACATAATTAAACAATAGTTCATATTAACGTGATACCTAACGACGTACTAATATTCAGTGATTTGATCGCTCTTTCTAGGAACTGTTTGAATACTCTTTATTTCTCTTCTCATAGGAGACAGTCCTTGACACTTTATTTACGGTAGACTGAGCGTGTAGTTATAATTGTAGTAATAATTGACTGCACGGATAGTGCGGTCCCCACGCCGCTTCCTACTACGCCGAGTGTTGTGAGTTCAAACCCCACATGGGACGAAGCTTTGTGTGATCCACAAATTTTGGGTCTGGGTGTTCTTTGTGTCCGTTTCATGTATGTTTGTAAAGGCCCTCGCGACACAGGATATATTCCTAACTAGCTGAGACCCGCGGTGTTACCCGCGTTTGTTGTTATAACCGCGGGCAACGCCACGGGGCGAAACTAGTCTAAAAAAAGTAGCCTAAGTTACTCCTTATGTCATCAGCTATCTGCCAGTGAAAGTCCCGTCGCAATCGGTAAAGCCGTTCCAGAGATTACCCAGAACAAACAAACAGACAGACAGACAAAAATTGTAAAAAATGTTATTTTGGCATATGTACCGTGTAAACATACATATGCATTTAGTAAAAAGCGGTTATTTTAATATTACAAACAGACACTCCAATTTTATTTATTTGTATAGAAGATGCGAGCGTTGTCTTTTAAAAAGAAAAAAAAAAACATTGGTATAAAACCATACAAACACAGCTAATTGAGTGGGAAAATTGAGGTACTACAGAAATAGGAATTCTCCTGTAACCTCCTTTATCTTTTAATCATTCATATTCTACACATACAATCTACAAGTCTTAGGTTAGGTTAGTTAGTTTTCATATACCGCGAAGAGTAATATGTAATTCATATAAATTATTAGAATTACATGTATTCACAGTACGGTACAGTAGTATGAATGATAACGGTGAGTACATGGTTCGTTTATTAATTAATAAAGATTGGAGTTGTGTGGTGCGGTAGTTGAAGCTCGTATATACGAGAAAGTTTTAAATTCTTTAAGAGTAAGGTTCAGCCATGCTTACTGTTGGACTGACTCCACCATAGTATTGGGATGGTTACAGATGTTGCCTTCTAAACTTTAGCGAAATCGCGTTGCTGAGGTTTTAGAAAAGGCTGGTAACTGTACCTGGAGGCATGTTCCAACTGATGAGAACCCAGCAGACCTAATATGTCGTGGCACGGAGCTACTTATTTAGGTTCTATGTGCTATGGTGCACCTGTATGAGCCGATAGGGCGACCGTAGGCGCTGTCCGTCGCAAACTGTTACAAGGCCAACGACTTGCACTGATATTCTTGTGCAAGGCATATAGGACGGTTAGCACTGAGGCTTTGCCGGTGTTGGCGGGTGTACTTCCGGTCGATCTCGAGGTGCAGAGACGTGCAGCCATGTACTATTCAAGACAACAAAACATGGAATGCGATTTTTTGGGCGCGCGGGATCGCGGTAAAATTACAAGATTGATTCAACAGCAGTCCGATGTCTATAATGACCTCATAGACAAATGGCAACAACGCTGGGATGAATCACTCAAGGGGCGCCATCTTTACCAATTCTTTCCATCTGTTGGCGAACGGTTGTCGAGGACATGGCTTGAGGTGGATCACTGTGTCGCTCAATTTCTTACGGGTCATGGTAACTTTAAGAGCAAGCTTTATTCATTTAAATTAGTCGAGTCACCATTGTGTCAATGCTCAACACCTAACTGTCACTACGAACAGTCTGCTCATCATATCCTCAAAAAAAATAAACTTTTCCTAAGCTTGTAATGCTATATCCTTCACAAAAAATAAAAAGGTATTCAACTGCACTTATTTCTTAAATGACCAACCTTTGGTTAAAGTATCTTCGCTTAGAGACCTTGGTGTTGTTATAGATTCTAAATTGCATTTTGACATTCATATTGAAAATATCATTAAAGCTGCATATAGAATGCTCGGATTTGTTATACGGAACACTAAAGAATTTAAAAACCCAAATACTTGTAGATACCTTTATATAACGCTAGTAAGATCTTGTCTCGAGTTTGCTACCATGATCTGGAATCTGTTTTACAATAAATACATCGGGGCATTGGAAAATGTCCAAAAAAAATTCTTGCGGACTCTTCATTACAGATGTTGCCATGGCTATCAGGCATATGATGGTCTACTCCTGACATACAATTTGTCTACCTTGGAAAGCAGGAGACTCCTTCTTGGAACTATGTTCTTACATGGCATTGTTCATAACAAGTATGACTGTCTGGAATTATCAAATAGATTATGTTACATCGTTCCCAGAACAGTCATGCGAAGGCAGGTTCGCTTACATCGTCTCTTAGCGATTACGCCTTACCAGGTCCCTAAAACAAATGCAGGCTTAAGAACACCTCTGTGACGGCTTGTAGACAATTACAATACCTATTTTAACAGTACGGATATCTTCATGCATTCAGCAATCAAATATAAAAAAATTGTACTAGAGTGTTTGAATGATTTTATTTATTTTTATTTATTTATTATCTTTATTGTATACACTAATAGAAAAAACAAAACAAAAGATGACTTACAAATAAGTAAACGTAACAGTCGGCGGTCTTATCGCCCACAGCGATCTCTTCCAGACAACCTTAACATGGATTTTAGGTATTTAACAATTTAGAGTAGTATACATACACGTAACACAATATCACGTGAATATTTAAAAATATTCACAAACATAAACAAACACATTCATACACAAATATACATCTATGGACATTACACATATACAAATACACATACATACATACACACATACCCATACATATTTGGAATATATAATATATTAAATAGGGAATCAGAACAGTATTTATAATGACAGATAAAAATCTTTTAATATTTAAAAAAAAACAGGCAAAGTTTAAAAAAAAAAAAAAACTTATCTTTAAAAAGACAACTCCCGCATTAGGAATAAATCCTGTGTCGCGGGGGACTTTACAAACATACATGAAACGGACACAAAGAACACCCAGACTCAGAACAACAATTTGTGGATCACACAAAGTGTCGTCCCATGTGGGGTTTGAACCCACAACACTCGGCGTAGTAGGAAGCGGCGTGGCGACCGCTTAAACCACTACGCCATCCGTGCAGTCGGATTGTTTCAGGCAAGTTGTTCCAGAGTCTTACTGCTTGCACAGTGAAAAATTTGTCTGCAAACTGGGTGGAATGTTTTACTGCTTGCACAGTGAAAAATTTGTCTGCAAACTGGGTGGAATGTTTTGGCATTTTTAGTTTTAAATTCTCCGATGACCTCAGGTCCCTGCAATGTGTGGTGTGTAGGAACTCAAAACGTTTTTTTGAGATAAGAGGGTGTGTGAGGATGAAACAGAACACTGTATAAAAGAGAAAGAATATGGAGATTCCGGCGAAGGCGTATTGGTAGCCACTTGAGTTTGGAACGATACTCTGAGATGTGATCATACTTGCGTAAACCAAATATGAATCTAATACAGAGGTTTTGGAGTCGCTCAAGTTTATTCAGTTGGTCTTCTGTGAGATCCAGGTAGCTGACATCGCCATAGTCAAGGATGGGAAGAAGAAGAGATTGTGCGAGCGCAATTTTAGTATTGGTAGGAAGGAAGTTGCGTAGCCTTCGCAGAGATCCCGCCGCTGCAAATAGTTTGCGACTAACTTCTCCAATCTGAGGACCCCAGGATAGGTACCTATCCATATTGATTCCCAAGTTTTTAACTTTTTCACTATATGGGACAACCGAACCGTTGCAGGATATAGGTGGTATCTGCTGAAGGTTTACTTTACAGTGCAGCCTGGGACTTCCTACTATAATGATTTGTGTTTTCGTAGGGTTTACACTGAGTCCGTACTCCGTACTCCAGTTACATATTCGAACTAAGTCCCTGTTTATGGTATCCACTGTTTCTCTTAAATTTTCTGGAGTACCTTGTGAGTAAATTTGAAGATCATCTGCATAAAGATGGTAGGAAGAAAGTAATTGATTTGTGATTGAGTTAATAAAAACTGCAAAAAGTAACGGTGATAACACGCCGCCCTGAGGTACGCCCGCAGATGTTGAGCGCCAAGAGGAGTACACATTTTCGATACAAGCACGCTGCTGGCGACCATACAGGTAACTACGAAACCAGTTAATTGCCGATGGATATATGTTAAGAGAGCACAATATACCCAACAAAACATCAAAATCCACAGTGTTAAAGGCGTTGCTGAAGTCTAGTAAAGCAAAGACCGTAAGCCTGCCTTCCTCCATGCCCGACCTAATGTCATCCGTAATATGGACAAGGGGTGTGGTAGTGCTATGGCCTGGACGGAAACCTGACTGGAAAGGATTAAGAAGACAATTTCTTGAGAGAAATGAGCTTAACTGAGTGTAAATAAGGCGCTCGAGAACTTTGGAGAAAAAAGGAACGATAGATATAGGACGGTAAACTGAGAAGGAGTAAGGATTACATTTCTTGGGGAGAGGAATGATTTGAGCCATTTTCCATGCAGATGGAAAAGCCTTAACAGATATCGAGTAATTAAGAATATGGCACATTACAGGTAGGATTTCATCCAGGATAGGGAGAACCATATAACGGTTGATGCTATCGCTTCCTACGGCATTGGAAGTTATTGACATTATGCTCTTCCTTACATCACATGCAGCAAATTGATTGAAAAAGAATGGGGAACAGTTAGGAGTCGGCAGAGAAGAAAGATAATTTAGTGTCGCAGTCTTGGTAGCTCCTCCTGAAGCTGAAAAGTATGAATTCAGGGAATCAATATCAATATCTTTTGAAGCACAATTAGAACGTGACTTGCCGATCCCCAATGACTTAATAAATTTCCA